AAAAAAGGGAAAAAAAATATGATATTGTCAGATCCAATATTTATGATACTCAGAATAATAGTCATAATCTATTTACATCGCACACATACACATTAAATACCTATTACACCACTATATTCTTATTATGAATATACATCCAAATCAACCATACGACACACACACACATACAAACCAACAATCACACGACACGCTGTGGTACTCCCTAACCTAGGAGGTACAAACACCACACAACATCACACACACACACACAACACACACATATATATTTATATATATCATATATATATATATATATAGTAGTAGTATATATATATATATATATAATTTGAATTTATTTATTTATTTTCTATTATTTATTTATAGTTTATATACTATATAAAGCACACGCTCCCGATATAATATACATATATATATATATATAATATATATATATATATTAATATATAATATATTTTATATATAGTATAGAAATAAAATAAATCTAATCAAATAAATAAATATATATTATATATATATATATACTGTGTGTGTGTGTGTGTGTGTGTGTGTGTGTGTGTATGATTGTTGTGTGTGTGGTGTGTATGTGGTGTGTGTGTGTGTTAGTTGTGTAGCTCGTGGTGTGTGTGGTGTGCATAGCGACTGTATGTGCGTGTATACATATATAACATACAAGCATGTATGTATGTATACACGTCTACAACTACGAAATACAACTTTCCTTACTACTATCTATACATAAACAGAGAAGGTGTTGATGTGTATGTGTCATGTTATCTCCATCTTCTATCTATAGGGCACACACACACGCACACCAAGATGATAATGAAGTTCATGATCTCTATCGTTAGAGGTTTATTCATCATTATCATTTGCGGGAGTGCATAAGATCCATACTTTCATTTTTAAGACATACCTAAATGATATTCTGATTTTACGGATCGAATCTGACATCTTAGCAACTATTACTGAGTGCCTCAATGAGGGAGCGTTGTGGAGAAACTTCGCTAACCTTACTTACACGTAGGACAGAATAGGTTGTCTGTTGATGTCGGTGATCTGTTGTAGTGGTTAACGTGATGCTCAGCTGGTAGCGACGTGTGGTTACTTTGTAGTGAAACGTGTGTGTGCAATAAGGGTAATGGTATCGAGGCACGCACAGCTGATGTGGAGCAGGTTAGTGAGTGACAGTATTCAGGTATTGCGGTAGTAATTAATTAACGATGATTTTCACTATATAATATACTTAGATTACAATATAGGTGATATTAACGACATATTACTGTATTATGCTACTTAATATTTAAGAGATATTAAGAGAAGATAGAAGAGGTAGGGATGAGAGAGAAGTAGGAGGAGGATGAGCAGAGAGAGAGAGGAGAGAGCGGAGGATGAGAGAGTGAGTGAAGTGTAGTGTGTTGTTTTGCATATTATGACCTTATAGCTCGATTCAGATTTTCGACTTAATAATATATGTGAATCTTTACTATAGAACTATGACATGTTACATATTATATATATATTATATATATATTTATATACAACTTATTCTCATATATTTTTCATAGTTAGGTGAGAGTGGTATTCACTTGACTCGCAGCTCAATGTTAAAAAAATTACGGACTCAGAATTCCTACATATAGGTAATGCGCAGTCTCATATTCATTGGTAAGACGTATATCTCGATATAGCCTCTGTAAACTTACACGCTATGAAGTATATTACTATTGTATTATGGTAACTACTTGTTATCTTAGATAGCATTATTATAACATCATAGGTTAGCATTTATTTTTCTTTACTCATCTAGTATTATAATGACTATGATTATCAGTTAAGTATTTCATTGGGATTCATAGATTGATTAGTTTAAATATAAATATCTAGGAGATGAATTAGTTGATGAATAAGCTCTATTATTTTAGATATCCGAGTGCTCGAGAACACAAACAAAGAATCATTATAGTTGGACACTTCGATATTGCGCAGTAATGAGAGATAGCGTCATACCACTTATCATTACTCGCGTTATACCTTGAACATTGTGGTAAAACACTTTCAGTAGGAGAGAAGTACCATCCTATCCAGCCAGTGTTTCGCCAGTCTTTAAATATCCTTTCTGTCCTCACATGTAAGTTGCTGCTTCTTTATACGGAAAAAGTGAACCGCAGCAGTAAAGAAAAAGAAAAATTTAAAAAAACATAAATTCGCGCACTATGCGTATGCGCACGAAAGTAGCGCGCAGTTTACAAATGAATTCACAAAAGCATAGTACTCTTTATTGGGTCCGTCCTCACACGTCCGCTACCAGTAAGTTTCAATGCTTCACAAGGCTAGACCTTCTTTGTCTCTTCCAAGTGAACGGTTGCGCAGGCAACCCTCACTAACACTTAGGAGCCTGAGTGAGTGTCCTTGCACCGGGCACAGTCTCACTTCTTACCACCCAGCATACTTGCGCGGTTGTTGTATGTGAATAGAGCAGCTTGAGAGAACATTAGCTAAC